AGTCATTCTCCTTCCAGTCATTCTTTTTGTGGAAACTAAGGAGAAAAAAAATGCATGTCTACTAAGTTAATGCCTAGCTTGAACTCCAAGACGACTTTTTAGGAAAGTTTTTGATATTAAAATATGCTAATAATGTCTATAATGTCTATTTATATATTCCATAGGCGGACTGAAAAACTAATACAGAAAAAATTGGATCTTAAGCTGCGGATTTATTTTCAATTGATCCTATCCAATCGACAAGAAATTGAAGAGCAACAATAATTATAATCAATAACATATGTCTCAAAAGCATTAAAACAAATAAAAATAGAAGTGAGGAATATATAATATTTTCGGAATCAATAAGGCTAGTCTTATATTGAACATTACGAAAAGTCGCATATTCCACTCAAATATAAGGCAGTTCTATTTTATGAAAGCGAAACATGGAAGATTATCACTACAATTCAACTAAAAGTAATTTCACAAAGACTAAATCTGTAATCTCTATAAAGACATTAGAAGATCCAATAGAAGAAATTCAGAAACATACACTGGATTGGAATACGCAAGGTTCTGTATGCAGCTATATATCCCGCATGACTTGAGAAAGACGAATGGAATACAGAGTTAGGTTTCAACTCACTCAGGCTGGTTTTCTAAGTACAGATATCGGTATGTATGTAATTATTGAAATTTCTTTAAAAGCTTATATGATTCTTCATCAATAAGGATGAAAGACTCGTTAAGATACCTTAAATGAAAAGAATGGATCTAGATTCCATCTTCAAAAAATTTCTTGAAATATGTATAGTAGCAATATGACAAATGGAATCGGTGGTTATAGGAAGTGAGATGATATTAATGTGATCTGCCACAACCACCAAACAATATGCCATATTAAATGTATGGATATTATTTTTAAATATAAAAATGATATTATTTTAAATAAGTCAAACTACTAAATACTTAAGATATTCTTGAGAATAACTTCGATTACTATTTGCATCTGAAGAAAAATCGAATATGACATTAAGTCCCAAACTAATTATTATTAAAAATTTATGAAAATATTGAACAAAACCACTTAAAAAAGAATTTGCTTTAATTTATTATACTATTCTTTTGATTTTAATCTGATTTTAAATTACTCACACAGAAATTTATTTAACAATTAATTCGAATAAAGTAAACAAAATTATTCTGTGTATAATTTATTTGAAAAAAAAACTCTAAAAATTAAAACTAAAATTAATTATGATATTAATTATTCCAAAAATAAATTGTAATTTTAAAAAATTAAATAACAAAAAATTCTAATTGAATGGACTTATTTTGAGTGATAGTTTCGACTCATCTTTCCGCTTCTGCCATGAATTCCGTATGGATCCATTGTATTTCGTGAAGAAATCTATAAACAAAATCACCGAACATGAATTTATTTGTTTGTTTGTTGTTGTTGCTTTTCGTAATGAAAATAAACTTAACTTCATTCGAATTTGGTAATTGGAATTGTCTAAAATTGTTTCTTTAAATAAATATTTATTTCGATCTTATTAAAAAATAACATAAATTGTTATTTATTTATTTGTTTTAATTTTTTAAAAGTTTTTCAAGGTGAAAGATTAACAAATTTTTTGTATAAATAAAAATTCATAATACAAGAAAAAAAATTAGGGAATGTATAGAAATTAAAATTAAATTAAATCATTTAAATAAAATAATTTTATTATTATTAACAAATAATATTTTTAAAATTTATTAACTAATTTAAAATTATTTTTGGTCTATGACGGAAAAACTAAATCGGGGGTTGTAGTGACGAATAATTCAAACGCAACATATTTATGAAATTTTTAATCAAGTGATTTCTTTGACTAACCATAGAACTGTTTCGGATACCGACAAATATTTAGCATCAGTTATTATTACAAATATCTATTGGTTTAAAATTATATACTGGCAATATAATTTTTGGACGCCAAATGTTAGGAATTCGACCCTATCAAATTTTAACCATGGATCTGCATGTCAGCACATATTATTATTATTATTATTATTAAGGGATGTGGCATTGCGACCATCGGTTAATTGTGCCCCTTTCTGGGTTTAAAGTAGGTCTCTAAGCACTGTTACGTCAATAAAAAGTAGTATAGAATCTATTTTACAGAATTTTATTGCCTCTTCCGTAAGAATACACATTTCCAGGAGCCTATTCCGTATGTGCATTAGCGCAGGACATACTAAAAGCACATGTGTGGCGGACTCTTCATTCTCTTCACAGAATCTACTGCTTGCATCCGTACGTATACCCAGTCTTGTAAGGTGGTGTTTTAGTTTACAGTGCCCTGTTAAGATTGTTTAGATTCCTATAATGATTGCAAGTTTTTTTTTTTTGGTAGGTTCATACAATCCTGGTATTTCCTATTGTCATAAATACCAATAAGTTATTTGGATTGTGTTAATCCTGGTATATTATCCCAGTAATCCTTTTTATTCTGGTTCTAACTTCATTTTTATGAGAGAAAGGAGCGTACTATGTACTAGTCCGTGTAGGACTAGGGCTTATGTAAGTGTGTATGTAAGGAAGGATACTCGAACTTATTATTCATAATTAACTTATTTCATTAAAAATGTGCTGAATTTATGAATTTCTATATAACACATATATATACTTTAGAAATCATATAAACTTACACTCAGAAAAACAATTTGGTTGATTTAACCTGGTTTTAAATAAATCTCTGGTTAAAATATTTTTATTCTACGTATTATGTTGGTTCAACCATACAGCATGTTGACTTTCATATCGTCTTTACCACTTCAAGACTTTGGCAAGCGATCGTGTGTTCTCTTTATATGCTATTCGGAACTTATTATATATTTATACAACCTTAAAGTTACCCCAAAATCCGTAAAGAATGGTTAACAAAATCTCTTGATACGCTGACGATGAAATTTGCATCAATTCTTTAGCATATAGCTAGTTTTCGTTTTCTTGTGTCTATTTTCACTGCTTGCTATGAAACTGATATGAGAATGATATATCATAGTATTAGACTATTATACCTCTGATGGCATTTTTTGTTACGGCAAAAATATCTTTAGTTATATTGCCAACTAAGTGTAGTTTTCTTAGTCCCTCCTTAAGTTTGGCAGAATTATTGAAATACAACAGTAAATTGTTGCACTATAATACACAATCGCATAAAGTCTTTAAAGTTTAATTCAAAAAGGCTAGACTGTTAGAAACATTAATAGGCTTAACAATAATTATTAATTATTTAATTAATTATTAATAATTATTAATAGGCTGATAATAATTAAGACACTATAATTAAACTTAATGATTCGTTAAGTTAAATTAAGAGTAGTGATTTTTATGGGGTACATATGTGCTAAAATTATGATTTTTCAAAGTACAGCTGTACAGTGAAAGCGGAAATCTTCGGAATCTGTAATACTGTCTCTTCAATAGAACTTTCCGTTTAAAAGATTATAATGTATATAAGAAATAAAAACTGGGAACTAGCAGCATTGCTTGGTGAGAGATATGTCCGTTAATAAAAGCATAAGTTTAATAGAGTTTTTAATGTATATTAAATTTTATATGTGATTTATTAATTGGACCACCTATAATCGTTTGCTTATAAAAAAGTATGTTCTTTCAACTATAATTGAAATTAATTTTTCAAAATTAATCTCTGCACATGGTAAAGATCAGTCAAAGTTCTTTATCGGATGTACTTCAATCGAGCTGCATGCAATAGCAATTAATTAATTATGAGTAATCGTAATTGTTAAAGTTCAATAAGCAAAGTCAATCATTTAAACTTACTTAAATTTCATTGTGAATAATTTGTGCACACAATTAAAACATTATTTTAAAAATTTTTATCTGAAACTGCAAAATACAAAATAATAAATGCATATTTCAATGCAAATGCAGGTCAGTGAAGGGTTAATAACATGAAAGAGTTACGATAGATACAAATGTCGGAAAAGAGTTATATTTTTCCGAAGACATGAATAAGATTATACCAAATAAGATAAATGAAAAACTACATAAATAAAAGTGATATAAAAAGGTTATAGTATATACAATACAATTTTATTTAATTTATTTTTTATTTGATGATAAACAATGTATCGACATTAAAAATTTTATTTGAATTTATACAATAAAATTAAACAAAAAAATATTTTTAACAAATAAAAAAGTTCTTCATGGCTCTATACCTGACGTCATTAGCAGTGACAATAAAAAGTAAACCCAATCACACCACCAACCCATAAACATTGCAACCTTGAGATAACACCTATACCTTATAGACAGTAGTTGGATCTTCATTTCATCAAATGCGATTTTTTTTGGAAAACTTGATGATAATATGTTACAGAACAACCAAAAATAATAAAACCGTTGAAGAGGTTGATAATTGTTTAAATACTTAGGTTCTCATAGCGATTCAAATTGACACTAGAGTGAAAAATTTCATACCGAATACAAACTAAATCTTTAACTAGACTAGATAATAGCAAAGCAATTAAAATACAAAATAGACAAAAATGATTCGACCAGAGAATTCTCATACATCTGAGTATTGGCCGTATACCCAAATAAAATAAAACAGAAAGGTCTGGAGGCAAAAATGCGTGGAATTACCAAATTTTTACGAATGGCGCAAGTCATTCATTTACTATGAGTATATTCATACTCACTCGAGTATATGCTATAATTCATGAATCATTTGCCATTTATACTACTCTACTTAAAAATGTGTACGCATTCTTGTGAATCTGTGACACTTTCTGTGGCGAATGTGAATGCATATAAGTAGTGTGTAAGAGAAATATTAATAGACATTTATATTTGGTTTTTTATGAGTGTACTCTGAGTGTTAAAATTATGACTCGTTGCAGTTCACTGGTAAGAACTCCTTTTTTATTAAAAAAAAAGTAACATAAATAAAAATAAAAGTTATTTAAATATAAGGTTTGACCAAGCTAGGTTAGACGGGGATGTGGCTCAGTGGTAGAGCGATCGCTTTGCATGCGAAAGGTCCCGGGTTCGATCCCCGGCATCTCCAGTCGTGGCTTAACTTTTTTACTTTTGTTGCTTTTATTGTAACCTCACTTTTATTCAAGTTCCCTACAATCATGTATTCAAAAATTTTATTATAAATTAAATTGTATACAAATGATAAAATATGTTTTGTTTTTTAAATATATCTCAAAAAACAATTTAATGGAAATATATATAATATATAAAACAACTATCAAATATAGAAAAGCTAATAAACAAGATTAAATAATAATAAACAATAACACTCCAACTTTAACTTTTAACTAGGTTTCCATTTCTAAAATATAGCTGCAGTGCACATAACCTACAAATCCCATCACTTCCGCAATTCATTACAATATATTAAAATAAAATGAAGAAGAAGAATGTGAAATAATTCGCAATAATAAAGAAATTAATATTTTCTCTGTAATTAGAGAAAAATGCCATTAACCTATAAAAATTTATTAAGAAAATAAAACGAACTCGTAATTGCATTGTGTACTTAAGAATTGACCGAATTTTGGAATATTTTTGGCAAGATAAATCGTAATTGTTCCAATAACGCATAAAGCAGTTTGGGGAAAATGTTTAAAAAATCACGAAATATTTAAGAAATTTTTAGTGTATTTAATAAATAAAAGAATTTTTAAAGGAAATACGTAGAAAAGCTTTAAATTATCTTTGAAATATTTGCAGTTAGAAAATAAAAATTGCAGTTCATATTTACGAAGAAAAATATTTTAATTGAAATTTTGAAAATTATTTGTTTATACGTGCCATCATTTATAATTTAATATAACAGAGAAATTTCAAACAAATTTAACTATGGGATGTTTTATGGGAGGTACTTAATTAGTCAGATAAGTATTTATTTGATGTGTCTTATAATAGAAAATTATTTCGATCTATACAGAAACATCGTAAAAACCACACCCTGGTACTATAATAGTCTATATATATTTTTTTCAAGTATATGTATGTGTAAATATGTACAGTGACTTTAAATATTCTAACAATAATCTACTAGCAGCAAATTAAACGATCTAGAAATATCTAGGGGCACCAACGCCTCATAACTACAGACAATATAGTCATTTGATCCATGCTTCAAGAACTCAATGCAGTTCAAACGTCTCGAAAAAAAAACCAATCACAGCTTGTTCAACCATGCAAAGAAAAATTAGTCGATGATCGAGAATATGTTGAGGATATTATTTCGATTTTCTTCATTTAAAAGAAAGTACAACCCAACCTTAACCACAAAATAGTATAATGAATGGATGGTCTGTTTATTTTTTTTCTTATTAACAAAGCTGCTTAGACAAAAAGAAGCCCAATGACCTCATAGTGTGATACTTTTTAAACATATTTTATTAAAAATGGATTTTAATCTAATCACTAGGACTTTAAAATATTGCTGCTTTAAAAAAGGTAGTGCAAAAACAATTAATGAAAAAATCTGTTAAGATTTTTACTCTATTAAAAAATTTAAGTTTTTAAACTTGGGCGGGGTGAACTCGATCCACCACTTTGAATTAAAGGCCAGAAAAACGGATTTGTCAAACACAATAAAATTTGAAATGTTCACGCATATGTTTCTGGTAAGTTTCAAATCGATTCGAATATATATATATATATATATATATATATATATATATATGTATTCGTAATTATATATAATTTACTTAATTTCATGTTAGACGTCACATTCTGTAATTATATTGCACAAAGATAGTCTCTGATGGGAAAAACAACATGTGATACAACAACACTAGTGGGTTTATTCTTAACTTCTTTAAATTTAGTAAAGCAGTTCGTAGCGCTGTATTGTCAAAATAACAAACTTGTCTATTGTGAATGATTAATGTGAATAATGTATAATAGCTGTAATTTTTTCTATTAGAGTAGCTAAAAAAATATTCGCAACAAAAGAAAACATGTGAAGCAACAAGAATGCTCTTAAAATCTTCAGAAGTTATGATAAGAAAGGTGCCACGAGCCGTAAGATTGCGGTCAAGTGTAGAAATAAACCATTCGAACTGCCCAAGTTTTCTTTGACAAGACTTACTAAGCAAGTTAAATTATTTCAAATCACTTTGAAGTACCCGAAAGCTGAATACTAAAACTTTTGCCTTAATAAGGCATAAGGCAAAAATAATTTTTCCTTCAGATGTAAGGGAGATTGTAGACGAATATGTTCTTTATGACTATGTTTAAGCAAATTCGCTTGCTGAGATTCAGATTGATGCTCAAGTTTAGAACCCAGTTGAGGACGTAATTGAACCCTTAGTGGATGAGAGGGAGGATACTCGATATAAGCAGCTAAAGGGATATCTCTCCTTACCCATTCCGTTATTATGGTTACATCGAAAAAGATATAACAATATTTGCCATTTTCATACAAAGCCTATTAAAAATATATGTAAAAATGTGCTATAGAGGTATATGTATATATATATATTTGCATATTTGTGTATTTGTATTGCATTAAAATTGTGCCATATGTAACAATATTTTATTTCGTTTAAATAACTAAGTGCCTATCTATTTTTGCATAAACAAAAAAGCCATTGACTTGCTTTCAAAATGACATACGAAACAATAAAACTGCTGGCGTATTTAACCCAACTTCTTTCAAATCTCAAAACTAAAAAGCAGTTTAGAATGCAGGCTTGCTAAAAGTGAAAACTTGTCTATTGTGAATGATATTAGAAAACTTACGTCAGTTGTCAAAAAAGCTTTTGTAATTATTTGTATATTGCTTTTCATTAAAGAGAAACAGATTTAATACACCAATGCTGCCTTGCATTTAATAGCATTTCAAGTCATGCCACTCAAAATAGTGTTGTATACTAACAGGAATACAGTAGACTGGGCTCAAAGGTTTAATTAAGACTTTTACAAAAGTTTAATTAGGTAAGTAACATGCTATTTTGAAAATCCTTAATTTTACGTTAGTGACTACAGCAAGCAACTAATCGGACTGACTGGCGGAGGCTACTCGATACGACCAAGGACGACTCATGTCTGTAATGGCCAACAAAGTAAGTAAGTAAGTAAGACTGCATTATCACATTAAAGTAATTGTTTTTATCTTAGAATATAGCTTAAACAATATACTTATCCAAAATATTCGTATCTATAATTACCTTACTAAAGATCATAATAGATAGATAGATCATAATAGATCGCCAGAGCAGTAAATTAATCTGAAATAAACAGCTGTTTAACATGACTTGAAAAATAAAAAGTGATTTGATTCGATATACATATGTATTTATGAAGAATATAAATATCTACACAAATGTTAGATTAGCCTTAGAATGTGCGAACGTGCAAAAACATTTAACAGATCGAGAGTAAATCTAGATTGAATACAAAATTACCAATCAATAACGCCATTATTTGCTACTTCCTTCGATATAAAGGCATATATCTTTTGCAGAAATATTTTGTGGTTTATTGTGATATTCCTTACTAAAGATCATCTTTTAGAAATGTCTTAATTACTTAGCTTGGGTAGTGTAATATGATAAGACAAGACTTTAAAAACAACAATTACATATACAACAGCAACAACTTGTTAGGGTTAAGCAGTTAATGACCCTTAATGTGTGTAGTGTAAAGAGGAACTTCCATTAAAAAAAACTTAAAATTATTTACCAAATAAAATTAAATTGACTCGTTTCATGCATTTTTTTTTCTTTTTTTTTTTGAGTATCGAATCTGTAAGAAAAATCTTCTAAAGATATACAAATGGTCCATACCATTTCCATGCCCGATTTATGCACGACTTAATTGAGTCATGCATACCTACGAACTAAAAACTACCCACATTCTCAACTCAAAATCCTGGAAATTCCTGTAGTACGATCAGTTAAAGTATTCCTTCACAGGGCAGGTTAAAAGAGTACTTAGCGTGCTTTCACTCCGATTGTGTATTTCGTATTTAAGTATTTCGTCCACTCTTACAATGTTTATTGTTCTAGAGATTATGCACTTGTGAAGGCTCCATTCATCAATGCTTGCCAATATCTGCATTACCATAGTAGAAGGGGTGGCTTCACCAATTAGTGTCTCTAGATTTTGTCTAGTATCTACGAATCTTATACAGTCTGCAACAATGTTTATTGTTCTAGAGATTATGCACTTGTAATAGTAGAATTGCCATAGTAGAAGGGCTGGCTTCATCAATTAGTATCTCTAGATTTTGTCTAGTATCTACAAATCTTATACAGTGTCTAATTATATGATCGGGACCATTCAATTTTATCTGGACAGAACTGACAGTACGGGTTACTTGTCAGCCTAAACCGGTATAAGTAATATAAGTAATCAAATCATGCATTAGTGTATGTGTGTGTGTGTGTGTGTGTGCGTTTTATTACAATTAAAATTGTACATCTTTCAAAAAACAAGTGTAAGTGTAATCTCACACTCACTTTTCTCAAACTCTTTTAAGTAAGAAAACATTTAAATTTAAACATTTAAACAAATGTCTTTAGCAATCGGCAACCTTTCAAATTCAGCAAAAAACAACAATGTAAATGCATTTGCACCTGCCCCCCCTTACACACTCGGCGTTTTTTCCATTTATTTGTTTTCATTCAAAAGCATTTTCTGATACTTTATGAATTGTATTCTTTCACCTCAAGCACAATAGCAATTGAATTCACCAATTGCTCATCTGACCGGCAGTCCATGTATATGTATGTATATGTAGCCTGGCCTTCTGTTAGCGTTTGTAGTTTCACTTGTTAACGCAATCCAAAAACAACAACAATAACAACAACAATGTGAAAGCAATATGTTTTAGGTATTTTAGTTGTTGTTGTATTGCTGCTTATAATATTATAACTCATAAACATCACACAGTAGTCCTTACATTCGCAATCAATGCAATAACAACAATAATAAATAATAAATGTCTGTGTAATGTTGTTGTTGTTGTTGTTGTTATTTTTATTATTTTCATATTTACTTAACTTTTAATTTTAAGAACTATTTTTATTTTTGTATTTA